GATCGTGAACTTTTTAGTTATGTATATTATATATCCCGTCATCATTGACTTATGTAGGTAAAGTTTAAAGTGATACATACACTGTACATATAATGACTTTTTTTTACACAATTTAATGATGGGATGCGTTCCTTTTGAGAAGGCAAACGATGTGCTGTATGCGAGTGTCCGAACACAAATGCAGATGATATACAAATGATTGTGTGTAGGTACATAATTCGTTAATTTAGTGCTTGTAAATATTATACTTTTCATTATTCATTTGATCTCTAGAAACTATAATGAACCCCTATATTCAACACAAATAATTTAATCTCGCTTGTAACAAACCTTTTCATTAGCCTAAACAATTATGTTATCAGTCCATACCATAAAAATGATGTCGCCGTGTGTAACGTCGCTTTTGATTGGCTGATACAGCGGCGTAATAATTTCTAAGACAAAAGTGTCCATCAATAAAAGTTGATTTCCACAGGGATCGTGTATAGTAGATTAAATTATAAGGATTACAACAAAAATCCGGAGTGCACTCTCATCATTATTTAGAGTATACTCCGTTTTTTTGTGTTATAGATCCATAACATAAGAAATGTATTGAAGTTATTGCTTAAATAAATGGATTAAAAATCGAAAAATCGAGTCAAATTAATGTAAGCGCACCTCTTTGTTTACAATATGCGGGAGATATACGATTGAAATTGACAAAAATAACCATAAAAAAACAGTACAATAAATTATACCCAAAATGAACAGCAACTCATGTATTTTACCCCTATTTATAAATACTTGAAATAATATTAATAAGCATGCACTATATGCGACATTAGTTGTCTTGTATAGTTACATTACACATAGAGGTATTAGGAAGGGGATACCTGTCCGTTCAGGTTTCACAAATATCAGTAATTTATCAATAAACCACCTGATCAGATGACAATGTGCATAGCATGATCCAGCATTATCTGTTTTGTTCCTGATTTTCATCTGTCGGGTGATGTAGTTGTACTGTGAATAGCGAACAGGTGAAAATCGTACACTTTGCACGTTAAAATCTCGTTATTGGGCTGACCAATTTATGCGGTTTTCGACCGTTTTGATATTGGATCATATATAATTATATTATGTGTGTTTCTCTGTTTGTTCAGGGTAGACGTTAAAAAAGAAATATTACACACAGACCAACAAATAAACATAAAATAGATGTCAACGCTGTAAAATGTGTATGGTATTGTTTAGATAACAACACATGATTAAGATTTATTCTATTGGTGTGTTACATACAAGATAAATAGGTATATTTACTATTGATAAAATGGTTGCGAGGAAATAGAAAATGTGAAAATGACGCAGATACCTTTTTCTTCTGTACCTTTTATATACCAACATTTTCTACACAACCTGAACGTTATAATGGTTGCGGTATGTGCTTTGTACCCATTTCATTATATAACTGTTAACAAGTTGTATGATTTAATCTTTCGTCCTCGAGATAAATGTATTCAACATTTCTTGAAGGAAAGATGCAATGGCATGAAATATATATGTTCAATTGTTAAATACAGAAGAACATTTTAAAAATAACAGATATTGATTAAATGCCTCTTATAATGCAAAACCAGAAAATGCCAAAAGAGAATTTGACGCATAATTTCATATATATATATTTTATTTGAGGACAAATCTTTGACAAATAAAATCGAACTAATTGATAGGCAGATTAATTGATTCCCCTGCCCTTTCTTATCAATGCATCATCGATAAGGGTTATGTCCTCTATAAGTACTATTGCCTGACATACGTTATGGGAGTGTGAGGTTTGTCAGAAACCAAAACAATTCAGATTTTCTAGTAAAGCAATGACTCATGCATTACGGTTTCTTACAAAAAGGGACAAAACTATTAGGTTGTTATTTTGATATTAAGTTTTAGATTAAAGTATTGCAGATAGTATTCAAAACATTTATGATCAAAAATATAATGGATTTTATGGATTCAGGTTTTGAATAAAAGTAGGTTGCTTTTTGTTTTCCGTTTAGTTGCCAATATAGAGTTGCATCGATGATGTTGGTTATAATGCCTTGAGGAGTTTATGATGAAAACACGGAACTTGTTCATTGTCATTCATATTTACGTTTATGTAACCACCACGCCTACTCTGAGTGTATGGTAGATACGCCGGAGATACTTAGTGTGGTGGCACTTGCAACGTTTCATTTTGTGTGTGCAAGCAAGGTAAAATTACAGTGGGATATTATAATATGTTTGAACCTATTCATCACAGGATTGATTAAAAATAGAAAAAACAAAACTCACAAAAAAACAGTAACACCGACACAGTTGCGTATTTGTATTTTGTTTTTGTGGTACCCTATACAACACACATATCAATCACAAGTGTCGATAACGACCTTCAAACATACTAACATATCTAAGATGTCCCAAATAAGCAACCAACAATGTTTTCGAAACGTTCACTAGACAGTTGTTGTGCTTTTACCCACTGTTGCTCGATAACTGACAAATACTGATAACATCACTAGATAAATGGCAAGAGACGCGTGTAACAAATATTGTACCTCGTTAACGTGTTATCGTATGTTTATGGAACATAATAGTCATGACGTATTGGTAAAATATTTTTCTCAACATTAAATTAATCTGATCTCAACACAAAAGTGAATCTTTGGCGTTATAATCATCAATTCATCAGTAATATACAGAACAGTTTGTATAAAAAAAAAATCGATATTGCCTATACAGGTATATAGAACAGAAAGTGTATGAACTGAATCTGACAACAGCGATGCTGCATAACACTTGGCATCCCTATTGCAGTGTTTGTATCCGTATTAAAAGCAAATGTGTATGGTGTTTTGGTAGAGGAACCTGATTATTTGTTTCCCTAATATTAAGCCTATATTACAGAGTCAATGGGCAGTAGGTACTAAGCTATTACCATATCCTGCCTTGTCTCTACATTTTCTAGTACTTGTTATCCATATTTTCGACCTTAATTTAAGTATCTCTGTATTTATATTGACAAAATGCAGTAAAAGGCTATCATTCCAAGGTCCTTACTAATGCTAATGTAAACTTAAGTAGGACTCTATATCTCAATAAAGTAGTATACCTCAACAGGTGTAATCGATGTATGCCCAATGTCATATTTGTCCATCAAGGTGAAATTAGCATACCCATATATAAAACATATATATAAGCACAACTGTCTTTATGAAACATTCGCTGATATCACACATTTCCCGATACAAAGTGCTAGGTACATCGCAAAATCAAAGTTCATGACATATAATTCTTCATATTGCCATAAATTTGCCTGTCGGATAAACGAAAGAACCTGTTGATACCTATCTCTCAGTGAAATATTAGACAGGTATAATCAATGTTCGCTCATTGTCATATTTTCCCTTCACAGTGAAATCATCCATTCACGTATATAGCATATTCTGCACAATTGCTTGTATAATTATTTCACAATACGTACACCAAAAGGTCAGAAGTAACGACAACCCAGTCTGTATATAGTTACATGTATTATATTTGCCTGACTAATAAACGCAATACCATTTTAATACCGACTTGGTTTCTTCTTGTTATCATTATGAACTGAGTGTGTTGTATCTATCTCACGCTACGTTAACTACCCCTTTTCTATAAGTAACACAGCTCAAATCGATTGGCATTTTTTTTACACCGTACGTAATTACCATCAATACAATCCACCAATTTCATATTTGACCTATGGATACAACAAAAACTATGCAATTTTAATGTTTTGTAATTGTATTAAGCTAAAGGTTTTAGACAATCACATCAAAGCATTGCGGATAGTTTGAGAAACTGATTCCGTTGGTGTTACCTCGAGCTCTTTATTCTCTAATTTACTGTTTATTATATCGTTAATATATTGCATTCCTTTCAAGTGTACAGCACAATTTGTTTTATTTCTATTTTATTTAGCACAGCTGAAAGAAACGAATATAGTTGTTCTCGTCTGTAGTACTATCATTAGTTACCACAAATGTGTCGCCACAAACAGCTATTGCCCATGGAGAGTTAATTCCATCTGATGACGTCAGAAGTTCCCCAGACATCTGCACGACGTTGTGTGATCCCCCACCACATACGTAGATGTTACCTTCCCTGTCAATGTATATTCCCCTAGGATCCCTCACGACACCGACCTTCATCACATCCGTGTGACGTGTATCTGCCGACAGTCTAGACACCGCGACCTCCCCTGTGGTGGTGATCCTGACACTTACGAGTGTGTCACCCTTTATTGGATCATGTGTTTAAGACCAACAGTAGTTATTATATTTGTATAACAACTCGGATGCTCCGTTCTGTGTCACACTGTGTACTGGTCCTCGACCTGTACCAAAGACAAACTTACCGTCTGTATGTGTTATACCATAACAGTTCTTACCATTTGACATGTTAATATCAGATACCAAGGTAAGTTTTGAGTCCTCGACCTTTACGACACGTACACCACCAGGACTGTTGATTGCGACCGTCACTGTTTTGTCGTCCACCAGACACATATCCCAGGGATTCCCCCGAACCGTGAACTCATCCGGGAACTGTCCTTTGTCTGTAAACAATTTCAGCTTTTTGTTGCTGTAATCACTCAGAACTATATGTGCACATGGCAGGTACACAACTCCAACAGCAGAGCAATCATATCGATCTGGGGGTAGCTTGATGTTGAACTTTCTGATTTCTGTTACGCGTCGTTCTGACATGGGGGTTGCTAAATTGATATAGCCCCCAGGGATACATCGTGGTGTTTTCTCGAAGACAATCTGTCCCATCGCGTTATCGCTAATAATATCATGTCCGGGAACAATTTGATGATCGATGCTGACGGATGTGAAGGACTTGCTTATCTCCGTGACAAGGGTCTTACACGACTCCACTTCCGTCTGTCCTCTCTGATACAACACTATCGTCTCAATGTTGTCGTTTTCCTCTACGGCTTAAATGGACGACTTCAGGGTATTAAGCATACCATTCATCAGACGTTCACACTGCAGTAATGATGCCTCCATTTCTCTTTTCTCTTCTTTGAACACGATAATCAACTCGTCGGTGATGTCTTTCTGAAGCTTGTCTAGTCGTGTATCGACCTTTTTACGCAGGTCGGAGATACTCTGCAGTGCGATTTCTATTTTTTTTATCATGGTTTGGAGTTGTTCATCCAGTCATTCACAAGTGAGTTCATATTCTCTGTTCCTTTCTTCAACGCCTGCATGTCTTGTAGTTGCGATCCTGCTTTTATTTTCTGAAAGTATTCCGTCATTTTTTTTTTCTTTCTCCGCAATTCCTTTGGTCTTCGATCATGCATTCGTTACAGCACAGACGTTGGCGATCCTCACAATACCGAACCCTTTTCTCGTCGTGTGTGTGGTCGTTTCCTATGGCTTCTGGTGACATTCATTATATCACAGTCATTATGTATGATATCATGAAGTGTTACCTTACAAGTGTTGCAAAAAATATCGTTCATTGTCTTGCACCAGAAACTGGCTAGGTTGTTTGAGTTACCTTTTGTCTGGCAGGGTTTGCAATACAATGGTTCAGACGAACTTTCCCTTAGCTGGATAAGGTCCTTTGTCACCGAAATAGTCGGAAATTGTTCTGCCCATTTGTCCTTGGTTTGGGCCTGATTGACCAAAGGGGTCATCCTCCTACAAACTGGACAGGTGAATGATGTTGACGACGCCATCTTCCCTGAGAGTTCTTTGGTGATATAGGTACCTAGGCAATCCTGACAGAAGGAGTGGAGACAGGGTAAGGACTTGGGCTGTTGAAGACGCTCCAGGCAGATTGGACATTCCAGTAAGTGTAAGCCCAGTTCCGGAGGAAGACCACATTCAGCCATTGTAAGGGTAAGAAAGAGTCAACACAAACCAGAAATAGAAAATGACTGTGATTATAAATAAATACCAATAAGACAGACAGCTATAGAGAAACAGAGGCCAGTTTATAGCACATGGAATATTATATACACGATTATCTAATAAATACAGATGCAATTTAATCAGTATGAAATTTAGTATTTTTTCCTGTTTTTTTTCTCATAGTTAATTCCGATATAAAACAATCTGTCTTTAGGCGGCACGGTGTCTAAAATGATATATGGTACGTAATGGTTATCGTACAAATGGTACCATTTGAAGGTTTTGACAAATGATTTCAGTTTTGCCATTTAGGAAGCTTCATCACATAGTGGTGTTTTCCGTATGTCCGATATACAGCACATTTTACATTTTGTGTAGTGTGTAATTCATTTAGCGGTATTGTTTATATTTCATATTGATGATCAATAGTATTATCGTGTTTGAGTATGTATGTCTATGTATATGCATAACCTTTCAATTTCATGAAACAGTGGTAACATCATTTAATCAAAGACATACATTTGTTATCTTACACATAAGTATGTGACTAATCACCTCAGATTTAAACAAATAGTTTAAGAACTTTGTCCTGCACAAACCCTAGGTGTTCATAAGACATTGAACCCTGAATAACCGATCACTTTTGAGAACCAATACTATGCTAGTATTGAAGTCCATTTGACGTAGCAGAGGAGTTATCTCTTATCTTTTTTTGTCGCGAACAAACTGTATACATGGATGCACATGAGAGCTTTCGTTTGATACTCCTATATGCGTACGTATTAAAATGTAACGATGTTTACTAGCCATAAGCTATCAATACAAACAGTATATGTATCGGCAAAGGTGTGCCAGCCTTGCAGTACAGGTAAAACTGTATTATACACAGATTATCATAGATTGTTTGTAAAATAAACATCACATGATAGGGTACACTATCACAGTTGTCCATTACACTCAGCCAGGGAACAACTATTTACACGGAAGACACAAACGCCTCTCCCAACAGCAACCGGATATATGGTCACACCTCGAATCTGTCTCTCCCCTAACGCGGGTTACATGTCTAATCCGTAATTGATCTATATTTAGATCATGCCTATAAATACTATAACATGTTTCAACCGGATGTGTGCTCTGGAACATTCTATAATCTTGAGCAAAATAAAAAAAACCTAGAACACGATAAATATATGTGTTTAATATTCAAAAACTAGACGCTAGTGTTGTTCTGGAGCCTTCTTCAAAAAGGATGGGGGATGAACCGGCAATATACTTAATTGTATGCGACCTGTTCGGACTTGTCCTTTTATGTTAAAACGCTATATATGTCCGCCATATTTGTGTTACCGATATCTCATTTCTCTTATTGTATGATCAATATTTGGACATCAATTCACCACTAAGTGAAGACATTTTATAATTTAGATATATTCTGATCATAATAACACCATGCCCTATGGCCTAATATCATCGTATATCCAAACAAAATCGTGTATGTGTATCTCAACTGTATGCACACCTACACTACAAAGCAATAAATATCTGTGTTTTCTCAACCGGTAAGACACTTTGTATACATACTTCGTTTTTAGTAACCATGGATCTTAAATTATGTCGGCGTTTTGCTTGTAAACGCTTCAGTGATATAACTATGCATTAGTGGGAAAATATCGCGATGCCCGATTGTGAGTTTAATACAATTGTTGTTCTATTTTCTGACGTTCTTATGCTAATTAGTCCAATTGTAATTACCTAAATTGTGAATATTTACATGCTAAAAATAGCACACCCGCCGATTCACATCATGCGTAACGTAGCTTGTAGCACCCACTACACCCGCTGTTACCTGAGGAAATCTATATTTTTATCATGTCATATGATAGTGTCGATATAATCAAGCACTACTCTAAATATAATCCAGTAAAGCGATGTCTTAAGGTAAATGACAAATTGACTTTGCAATATTTATTTCATTTTTTATAATTGTTAATAGGGTGTATATCTCAATTGTTATGGTAACTTTACCAGGATTGTTATAATTATTTTATATTTAACAAGTGTTGTATCATTAGATGAAGAAAAAGAAAGAAAACAAATCAATGATTACTCATTTTCTCTATTTGTGTATATCTGTTATTCTTCGCGATATAAAGTTTACATGCATCAATATGAGACTGTCAAGACAAATCCAATTACCGTTTGGACGTAATTGCTAAATGTTTGTTCCTGGTGCCTGTGGCACACAATTCACTTTAATATTAGACATGTTAAACTGATAGTCTAAAGACATGTCGTCAGAGACTAACATTTCATGCTCAGGGTTCATTTGTATCCACTTCTAATTGATAATTGACATGCATCTATTTCATTACTAGATAATTGACAGCTAGTCATTGTAAAAAAATACGTTTATTTCCAGTTGTTTAAGTGTCTGTATATTCAATAAATCAGATTAATATTGTAATATAATTATTGAATATAAGGAAAAGGGTGACAATTTAGAATAACAGCGACATTTTGTCTAGGTTCTTTAATTTTAAATTGAAACTGATGATTCCTGGCATATCTATGAAGACATACATTGTACTACATTGGTTGGATTATTTTCAGCGTATGTATCTTTGAGCATTGCTTGTTTTCTATCATAAGGATGAACAAAAAAATATTGTCAAATTTAACTAACACGCAAAGTGTTCACTGTATACTATTTAAACTAGTTATATATACGAAAATAATTGTCTTCGTCTTTACCTGTAAAGTTTGTGATAACCACCACATCACCCCTATCTCATATTTAAAGAAAACGAATGCAATTTAAACATTTGTTAATTCAATCTGTTTTGTTGTAAAACTATAGGTTTACTACAGTCACACTAACACATTGCTGATAGGTAAAGACACTGATTCCTCCAGCGTTTACACCAGCACTTACATGTTTGAAGTAAAGTTTGTATAGATGTATGCACGGTGTTTATTCTATCGTCAAGATATAAGCATACATTTCAAGTGTCCAGCACACATCTACTTTTCTTTGTATTTCATTTAGCACAGTTGAAAGACACGGATATAGTTGCTCTCGTTTGTAGTACTGTTATTAGTGACCACAAATGTATTACCACGAACAGCTATTGCACATGGCTTGACCATTCCATCTGATGACGTCAGCAGTTCCCTGACGTGTGTCCCGTCCATAGAGATCTGAACGACGTTGTGGGAATCAAACCCACACACGTAGATGTTACCCTCCATGTCCACGTCTATTCCCATAGCTCCCTTCACGACTCCAACATTTAACACATCCGTACGACGTTTGTCAGCCGACAGTCTAGATACCGTGACGTCTCCCTGTGTGATGTTATTGACACTGACAAGTGTGTCTCTTCTTTTGATATCATGAGTGAGGGACCGGCATGTGTTGCTATATTTGTATACCAACCCGGCTGCTCCGTCCTGTCTCAAACTGTATACTTCTCCTCCACCCGTACCAACGACCAACTTCCCGTCTATATGTGCTATACCATAACAGTTTTTATCATTTAACACCTTGATTGTAGATGTCAGGGAGAGTTTTGAGGCCTTGACCTTTATGAGGTTAACACATCCAGGACTGCTGAGAGCAACCGCTACCGTGTTGTTGTTTACCAGACACATATCCCAGGGATTTCCCCGAACATTCAACTCGTCCAGGTACTGTCCTTTGTCTGTAAATAACTTCAACTTTTTGTTGTAGAAATCACTTACTATTATCTGTGCACTCGGTACATACACAACACCACGGACATAGCTATTCTGTTTATCTGACAGGGACTTGATGCTAAATTTTCCGATTTCTTTCACACGTCGTTCTGACATTGAATTTACTAAATCGCTATGGCTCTCAGGGATGCATCGTGGTTGTTTCCCGACGACGATCTTTCCCATCGCGTTACCACTAATGATATCATGTCTGGGAACAATTTGATGCTCGATGCTGACGGATGTGAATGATTTACTCAACTCAGTGACCAGGGTCCTACACGACTCCACTTCTGCCTGTCCTCTCTGATACAACACTATCATCTCAACGTTGTCGTTTTCATCTACGGCTTTAATGGACGATTTCAGGGTATTTTTCATTCCGTTCATCAGACGTTCGCACTGCCGTGATGATGCCTCCATGTCTCTTTTCTCATCTTTGAACAAGGTAATTAACTCGTCGGTGATGTCTTTCTGAAGCTTGTCTAGTCGTATGTCGACCTTTTGACGCAGGTCGGAGATGCTCTGCAGTGCGATTTCCTGTTTCTGTATCATGGTTTGGAGCTGTTCATCAAAGTCCTTCACTAATGAGCTCATACTCTCTGTTCCTTTCTTCAACGCCGCCTTCATGTCTTCTAGCTGCGATCCTGCTTTTACCTTCTGACAATATTCCGTCACCTTTGGTACTTTTACACAACTCCAATGGTCTTCGATCACGCATTCGTTGCAGCACAGAATTTGGTGATCCTCACAATACCGAACCATTTGTTCGCCGTGTTGATAACACCGAGGGGCAGACGTTTCTTTTTTTTGTCGTTTGCTGTGGTTTCCGGTGACATTAAGTATATCACAATCATTATGTATGATATCGTGAAGGTGAACCTTACAAGTGTCACAAAAGTTCTCGTCCATCGTCTTGCACCAAAAACTGGCTGGGTTGTTCATGTTACCTTTTGTCTGGCAGGGTTTGCAGTACAATGGTTCAGACGAACGTTCCTTTAGCTGGATAAGTTCGTTTATCACAGTATTAGTCGGAAAATGTTTTGCCCATTTATCCTTGGTTTCTGTCTGATTAACCGGATGGGTTATCCTCCTACAAACTGGACAAGAAAATGATGTTGCCGACGCCATCTGCCCGGACATCTCCTTGGTGATACAAGTTCCTAGACAATCCTGACAGAAGGAGTGAAGGCAGGGTAAGGACTTGGGTTGTTGAAGTCGCTCTAGGCAGATTGGACATTCC